AGTTGGCCATGTAAGATCCAGATGTAACCTCCATACCACCTATTGGCCTGGTTACAAATGTACCATGGCAATGTAAAATTACAACATAGGAAAAACAAAAACAAAAACAAAAAAACAGGCATGGGTTTGTATAAGTTTTGAATGGCCGTTGTAACAAATTATCACAAAATAGAAAGCTGAAAATACATGTTATTTTTCACAGTATGAAAACCAGAAGTCCGAAAGAAGTCTCAGTGGACTGAAATCAATGCATTGACAAAACCATGCTTTCTTTTCTCTACTCTAAATAAGACTATACTTAGGGGCTGACAGGTGGCGTGGTGGTTAAGGACGCTGGACTCCCACATGGCAAACTACGGTTCAAGTCCTGGACCTGGAGGCTTACTCTCTCACTTTCCCTCTCTCTCTTTCTCTCTCGCTCTGTCCCTCTCTGGTCAAATTAAAAAAATGAAATAAATGAGTGAATAAATAAGGTTAAATAAAATAATTCTTTTTTTTAATAAAAAGTCTATATTTATTGCCTCTTCCACCTTTTGGTGAATGCAGACATACCATAGCATGTGGTCACATCACGTAAATTTCTGCTTCCATGGGTGGGAACCTTATCAATTCCTCTTTTGTCTGTGGTCATGATATTTACAAAGCCTTTGAGGTCATGTAAAGTAAACTTTTTTTATTTTAATGCCATAGAGCACACACAAGAGAGAGAAGAAGAGCCGCTCCTTAATGGGGTGCAGTCTTTTCTTCTCTAATTTCCATCCTGTCAGGATCTGGGCATGCATATACATCTATCATGTTTATTTATTTACTCTCTCTTTCCCAAGCTGATGGGCTAGGACTCCAGCGTTGGTCACGTAGGATTCAATTTCCTCTGTGCAATGCCTAACTGCTGCACCACAGGACTACCCCCATATAAAGTAACATTACAAATTTCCAGGGATCAGGATGCATGTATACCGTGTGTAAGAATAGTCATTGTGGAATAAGCAGTAGGGTTGCTGTTGCACATGCTGAATGCCACAGAAGAGTCTGTAGATTTATGTTCTCGGTTTATCTGCTTGAAGGCTTTCCCATAATCCTGGATCACTGTAAAACTGGGCAAGGATCATGTCATGAAGACCATGTAAATAGTCTGAGTCTTCCTCTCACTCATTCAGGAACTAAATAGACCATTTTTATAAATTCCCAGAGGGCATATGCACTCATGAGAGAAACAAAGAGAAAGAAAAATAAAAAGAGAGGAAAAAATAAAATAAAGAAAAAAGAAATAATAAATAAAAGATAAAGAATAAGAAAGAAGAAATAAAGAACAAGGAAGAAGAAAAGAGAAAAAAGAAAGAAGGAAAAGAAAAAAGAAAGAGAAGGATGAGAAAGAAAAAGAAAGAATCAATAAGAATGATGAAAGAAAGAAGAAACAAAGAAAGAGAAAAAAGAAAGAGAAAGAAAAAGCAAAAGAGAAAGAAAAAAAGAACGAAAGAATTAACTCCCCATGGGGTAGTTGTCTCCAATCCTTTCTGTTCCACTTTTCCCTCCTTTCAGAGTTTTGGACACCCATGCACATGTGTCTGGCTTATTTTTCAAGCCTCTGAGTCTGGAACTCCAACTTCACAGTGAACCTTGTGGAAACCACCTGGCCATGAGCTGACCCAATAAATAAACTTTTTCAAAGAGTGTAAAGCCAGCTGTGGCTTGGTGATTAGGGCAGAAGATCCCACATAGCTAACCACGTGGTTCAAGTTTCAAAGTGGCAGCTTAAAATATACCTGGGGTGCCTGTGTGTGAGTGCTCAAGATCTCTAAAGGGGGATAAATGAAGGAGATGGAATTGCAGTGTGACCATGCCCCATGGGGAAGAGGGAGATTCTTCCTTTATTTTTTTTTCCCTCTCTCTCTCTGTCTCCCTCAGGAAAGCACACACGCCCTCTAGCAAAAAAAAATTTTTCGTGCATTATAATAGCATATTGAAGTTATTTTATATTTGCGATTGACAGAAACAATCTTGATATATTCTATTTGAACTTTAGAAGCATTTTAATAGTATAATATGCAGTAATTTTTCGAATATGAATAGATATTGAACCTTAAATAAGCTCACATTTACTGCCTTTTTGTGGCTTACTAATAGTGTCATTTGGTGTGTAACTTTCCACTTAGTGAGAGGGCTCATCTAAGTCACATGATTCAGGTGGAATTTCCAGGAAATCATTGTAAGATCAAAAAGCATAAGTGCTGTGTGAGAATGTAAATAAAAATATTTTGGCAAAAGAGAAAATCAACCATGCTATATGTCGGTGTAGAAAATGTATATTACAGATGATTTACTATAATCAGGTGGTTTAAAAATTCAGCCTATTGATATATTGGACCTAAAGCTTAATTTTTTTATTCATCCATTTATTTACTATTTATTTATTTATTTATTTATTTTGTAGAGGTTTTTCCTATAGGGCATGTGCACCTGCCAGAAAGACAGAGAGACGGAGAGACAGAAAGGAAGAAATCACCCCCCAGAGGGGATGGCCATGCCGCGATCTCTTCTCCTCCATTCTCCTTTCAGGATCTTGGGCACGCACGCACACGTGCCCGGCGTGAGTTTAAGCCACTGGGTCCGGGACTTGAATCGCAGTTGGTTACATGGGAGTCCAGCGACATAGCCATTATGCTAACTACTGGTCTCTATTCATCCATTTAATAAATATTTATTGAGCATATATGGCCAAAAACACCAATTTAGGACCTGATGATCATGTTAGGAACAAAACAGATCATTCACTGCTCTCTTTGAGTTTTATTCTGGTCGAGTGGAGATAGACAATAAACGATTAAAGGTGCGGTAGGGGACTGTCAATAAAGACTATGAGGAAAAATGAGGTGAGAGGGCGGGGCACATGGGTGGGGGGAGAGATTACTTTTTACGGGTGGGAAAGTTAGGAGTCTCTGAGAGGGAAGCATCTGAGCAGAACACACATAGAATGAGAGAACTTTCCACACAGGGAACAGCAAGTCCAATGGACCAGAGGTTGGAGCATGCATGGAGATGTAAAAAAGTAACAAATAGGATGACGCCAAAGAATGGGGTAAAAGACAGAGGAATAATAAGAGATGATGTATCCGAACTAAAATAAGAATGAAAGAGCAGCATTGACTACTTCACAGCATTGGCAGAGAGAAAAATGGACAAGAATTTTGGTTTATCAGTGACATTTTAAATAGGGTAAAACTTGAATAGTAATACATGAAGAAATTGAAAAATGTTTTCTTTTTCTGGTACTATGGACATTTGAAAATTCAAACATGAACATGTTTGTTGTATGAAATGAGTTGTCAAGACAGAAATATTAATTAATTATTGATGCTATGTTTATGTATCTCTGGATAAAATATGCCAAGGAAAAGGGTATACTTTCATTTCATAGTATATCATTTATTTTCTGAAATTCAAAATCTTAGAACAGTATTCAAATAAAAAAGAACTTAGAATTTCATATTCTAATACTCAAATGAAATATTTAAAGTGTAATTATTTATTATTGTATTACTCACGATGCTCCCCAGAAATAGAACCCATGGGAGAGGTAGACAGGTAAATAAGATAGACGATAGATAGATAGTTACATAGATAGATGATAAAATGTATTATGGGGATTTGCTGTTTTGATTGCAGTGAATGAGAAGGCCCACAATATGCCCTATGCAAAATGGAGAACAAGAAAAGCCAGTGGTGTCATTCAGCCTGAGTCTAAAGGCTGGAGAATGGTGTGTGTTTCAGGGGTATAGCTTCAGAGATTAAAGGTCGCCTAACCAGGCACTTCATTCGCTGAGAACAAGACAGGATGGATGTCCCTGTTCAAGAAAAGAGAGAGAGAATTTTCCCTTTCTTGCTTTTGTTTTGTTTTATTTTGTTCTATTCTGGTGAGACCTCGATGACTTGGACAATGTCCACTTGCACTGGTGAAGGCTGACTTTCTTTTCTTAATGTACTCCTTCAAGGCAGTCTTGAATAAAAAAATAAACAAACAAAAAAACCCAGCCACCTTGTATTCCTTATCCCAGTCAAATAAACGCACAAATTAACCATCAAAACCTGCCACAATAATTAACCCTGGCAATTTTTCTGTACTTGTTTACATGTCCTCATGAGACAAATTCAAGAACTTTTATTTACAGACTTATTTGTGTTCCTGATTTACATGTATTTGCATGGACCTGTGGTAGAAAGAAAATGTGCATGTAGAATGATTGAATACACAAATACTCTTAATAAGGTTTTTTTTTTTTGGAGAGGTTTTTCACTATAGGGTGCGTGTGCTCGCCAGACAGACAGAGAGAGACATAGAGACAGAAAGTGAGAAATCACCCCCCAAGGGGGATGGTCACACCACAATCCCTTTTCCTCCATTCTCTTCTCGGGATCTTGGGCACGCACGCACACACGCCCGGTGTGAGTTTTCAGCCACCGGGTCCGGGATGTGAACCGCGGTCAACTACGTGGGAGTCTAGCGACATAGCCATTACACTAACTGCTGGTTCCCTCTTAATAAGGTTTTTGACAAGCAGGCCCCACTTCATATTAGCTATTTTTTCAACATTACATTTCTGGGCATAATGTTTCCTTTTCTCTAGATAATGTACTTTTGAAAGGTAATAACATAACTTCAGAATGTTAACATCAGTGTAGGCATTAAAATGTTATTCAGACACTGGACGGAGGTACGACAGTAAAGCTTGATACACCCCAAGCATGACCCTCATGGGAGGTTCTAGAGCCTTCCCTGAGTATGCTATGCCTATGAATTCCCATGATCTGAAGCTGGATGAAGCCAAGAGTCATCACAGCATCAAGAACTTATTGGGAATATGATCTATCTATCTCTGTCACTCATCGAAAAATAAATAAACTTAAAATAATGTGATTCAAACATGGGAAAATTCTGAAAGATATCAAACTAGGTTATTGTGCATTTATTCCGCTATGTTAAAATTAAAATCTTAAGGGTAATTTTATTTCCAAAAAATCTTTGTAAATGCACTCTTCACTTCCTTATTCCTAAGGCTGTAGACCACAGGATTCAGCATGGGAATGACCATAGTGTAAAACACAGAGGCCACTTTGTCTGTGTCCATCGAGTGACTGGAGCTGGGCTGCAAGTACATGAAGATAATGGTCCCATAGAAGATGGACACTGCACTGAAGTGAGAGGCACAGGTGGACAAAGCCTTCTGGTGTCCTGTGGTTGAGCGCATCTTTAGGATGGTGACAAATATGAACAGGTAGGATATTAAGATAACCAGAAGAGCAAAGAATATATTGAAGCTCACAACATAAACAAGTACCATCTCACTAACATATCTGTCAGAACAAGAAAGCACCATGACTGCTGGAATATCACAGAAAAAGTGATGGACCACGTTGGACATACAGAAAGAGAGACTGAACGTGTCCCCAATATGGATAGAAGAATTCAGAAAACCACAGCTATAGGACCCTATGACCAGACATGCACAAACACTTGATGTCATGGTGGTGGTGTAGTGTAGGGGTTTACACACTGCTGCATAGCGGTCATAGGCCATTGAAGCCAAGAGATAATTTTCCACAGTGGCAAAAGCTACAAAAAAGAACATCTGAGCAGCACATTCATTGTAGGAGATGACCTTGTCTCCTAGAAGGAGCCCAGTCATCACTGTGGGGGTGACAGCTGAGGAGTAACAAAAGTCCACCAGAGACAGGTTCCCAAGGAAAAAGTACATGGGAGTGTGGAGACGAGAGTCCAGGAGAATCAAAGCAATCATCCCTAAGTTCCCAACCAGAGTGATGATGTAGATGAGGAGGAACATGATGAAGAGCGGAACTTGCAGTTCTGGGTTATTGCTTAGTCCCAGGAGAATGAATTGTGTCATTTCTGTTCTGTTCTCCATTGATATTCTCTGAGAACCATGAGATGTTCTGAAGCAATGAAGAGAAAAAAAATCATAAAGAAATTGAACTAAAATTGAAAAGCTTAAGCATAATATGTTTTCTTTAACAGCAGCAGTAATTTTTACCTCAAAATTGTCCAGAAAAAGTATGGACTTGATAACCAAATTCAATGTATCAATTAAATACAGAAGTTAGATACTATTGCCACTGAAGACTCTTAATGGATCATCTATCCAATTCTCACATTTTATAAATTTGAGCTGAGATGGAGAAAATTGATTGAGATGACTTATCTAAATGAATCTCTCTTGTCAATTCACTTTTCTTGAGCTTAGTAAAAACTACAACTTACACACTGCTCATCTGCTCAGAACTGCTGTAGACATTTTTGTTGTATATTTACTTTTCTCTCAACAATATTATTATTTGGGATTCTAGTTACATTTATAAATTATGAAGCACAAGAGGTTGAGTAATTTACTCATAGTTATATAAGTACTATCTGATAAGCCATGATTTGAATTCTTGCCAACCTTTGAGTGATTCCTCAGTTTAATGGTCTAAATGGGCACTTTAATTTAATAGTTCAGTCAAGGTGAATTGAACTCAATTTATATTTATTCATTTTCTCTTTCAGTTCAAACAGCATTTGAAGTTTCACGGTGAAATAAATTAGTGATATATAAGGAGACTTCAAAAAGTTTGTGAAAAGTAGAATTAAAGTATAAGTTTACTTTGGAGCTAAAATTTATTTTTGAGAAGTTCTTGCTATAGGGCACGTGCACAGGCCAGAAAGACAGGGAGAGACAGAAAGACAGAAAGCGAGAAATCACCCCCCAGGGGAGGATGGTCATGCTACAATCCCTTCTCCTCCATTCTCCTCTCGGGATCTTGGGCACACACGCACATGCGCCTGTTGTGAGTTTAAGTCAATGGGTCCAGGACTCCACCGTGGTGGACTACATAGGAGTCCAGCGACATAGCCATTATATTCACTGCTGGTTCCCCCAAATTTTTTTGATGAGATCAGCAAGTGGCTTCATTATTAAGGCAGTGGACTCTCACAAGACTGACTATGGTTTGAGTCTCGGACACAGTGGCTTAAAGGTCATCCTGGTGCGTTTGCATGCATGTCCCAAGTTCTGAAAGGAGCATGGAGGAAGAAGGGATTGCAGTATGGCCATTCCCTCTAGGGAGTGATTTCTCACTTTCTGTCTCTGTCTGTTTTCGTTTGTCTCCAATAAGCACACATGCCCTATAGCAACCTAAAAATTAATAGAAGAAATTTTGTAATCTATGCATGGATTTTTTTTTTTTTTTAGAGATTTTCACTGTAGGGCACGAGCGCTCGCCAGACAGACAGAGAGAGACATAGAGACAGAAAGCGAGAAATCAGCCCCCAGGGGGGATGGTCACGCCGCAATCCCTTCTCCTCCATTCTCCTCTCGGGATCTTGGGCACGCACGCACACGCGCCCGGCGTGAGTTTTAAGCCACCGGGTCCAGGACACGAACCGCAGTCGACTACGTGGGAATCCAACGACATAGCCATTACGCTAACTGCTGGTTCCCCATGGATTTTTGTAATACACATTTCACATAAAATTTTTGAACACCTCTCAATACATACTGAGTGTGGTAGGATTAAAGTAGCAAGGGCATGTTAAACCAGCAGAGACACTTCTTAGAGAAGGTATATTATCAGATATTGCAAATATAGACTTTGGGTTTCTGAAAGAGATTTTTAGCAACATTAAAATTTATCATATAGCAGTCATTGGTCTCACATAAACTATTCTAAATATCATTTTTTCTACAAAATAAAAACAAATGAAACCTACTTTGAGAAAGATCCTGAGAGGAGAATGGAGAAGGGATTGTGGTGTGGCCATCCTCCCTGGGGAGTGAGGTATTGTGGAAGTTAAATAATGTAATACAGAATAAAATGATAAAATACTGGATGTTAAGCCTGATGAGTGCTGCCTATAATATTATTATTAAAGTGGAAGGATGGTCTCTATGTTGGTTTGATAAAGATGGATGGTGACATGTAGAATTTCAGGTGTGGGTTGTGTGTGAGATTTGAGATCTTGAAAATTCCCTCTCCGACATGCTCTTCCTTCCACACTAAGGCCCCTGAGATTTTCTGTGCTGTCCTCCAAGCATATCATTAGTTGGTTAAGTAATTCCATGTGAACCATTTTTATTCTTAACTTCTTCCTTAAAATCTGTATCTTATCTTGGATAGAAAAGACCTTTTTTCTTAAACTATTATTTCTTTCATAACTGTAATCCTCTAATCAAATCAAAGAGATCAAGACCTGAAAGTGACTAGTTTTTCAGCTGTCTTTAACTCACAGAGATGATGTAGGATCAAGATTCATGTCAGAAAATGTTTTCTTTGAATCCATTTTAGTGTAGAAACCGTTTTTAAAATACTTTATTTGAATTGAAGCCTGTGGGAGGGTACCTATGCAATCCTAACTATGCTCACCATTCTTCTAAATATTTGGCAACTTCATTTTAAGGCCTACCGGATGAGGATATGGTTTGCCAACCTTAACACACACACTCTTTTTTAAGCATATGCTATGTTGTATGTCACGTGATAAAGGCTTTATGCAAAAATGGCTTGCATATGTGTGTTCCAGGTAGAGATCAATTTTTTTTTTTTACTTTACCATTAATAAAATTGAGAATGTGACTGCTGATGCTCTAAAATTATACAGCTAGTGGCCCAGCCGGAGTGGTACATGTGATGCTGCTCTGCCATGGAACCACATGGAAAACCAGAGGTTTGGATTTAGGGTAGATAGACCTAAAATAAGCTGTGATAGGCTGATACATCTATATGGGCCTCATGATATTGAAAGTTAGAGTCTGGGGAGTGGATTGCAGACTGATACCTTGTTGAGTGTATCTGCCAGACACTTTCTCTTTCATAAAAGAATTAAAATGTCAGGACCAGCAGTTGGCGTAATGGCTGTGTTGCTGGACTCCCATGAAGTCAACCACGGTTTGAGTCTTAGACTTAAACTCATGCTTAAACTCATGCTGGGCAGCATGTGAGTGTGAGTGCCCAAGATCCCGAGAAGAGAATGGAGGAGAAGGGACTACAGCATGGCCATCATCCTGGGGGGTGATTTCTCACTTTCTGTCTCTCTGTCTGTCTCTGTCTTTCTGGCAAAGCACACGCGCCCTATAGCAAAACAGCTCTCGAAAAAAAAAAATTAAAACAGATAGAATTTTCTTTTGTAGAGAGTTTATGTTATAGGGTGTGTGTGCTTACTAGAGAGACGGAGAGACAGAAAGCGAGAAATCATCCTTCAGAGGGGATGGCCACACCACAACCCCTTCTCCTCCATTCTCCTCTTGGGATTCTGGGTGCACATGCACACACACCCAATAAGAGTTTTATGCAGCTTGGTCCAGGACTTGATCCACAGTTGGCTACATGGGAGTGCAGTGACATAACCATTACATCATCTGCTGGTCCGTAAAATGGATAAACTTTGAAAAAAAATTGTCCAGCTAACATGAGAAACAGTTAACTTTTAAGAATTAAACCCATCTGCAACCTAATCAAAAGTCTGTGCTTTTACTCAGATCACTGTTCATGTGTAAATATGTGTTATTAACAACACAAGAATATTTGGGAAATGTTTAAAATGTAGTTCCAAACTTATTAATTCATGTAATACACTTTTAGGGTTTTAAGAATGGTTCTTTCAGGACCAGCAGATGGTGTAATGGCTACATCACTGGACTCCCACATAGCTGACCATGGTTTGATTCTCAGACCCAGTGACTTGAAACTCATGCCAGATGTGTATGAGTGTGTACCCAAAATCCTGAGAGAAGAATGAAGGAAAAGGGATTGCGACAGCCATCCTCCTTGGCAGGGTGGGAGGGGGTGGGCAGTGATTGTTCACTTTTTTTCCTCTCTGTCTCTGTCTCAAAGGCGAGAGCACGTGCCCTATAGCCAAATTATCTCCAACAAAGAAAGAAAAAAAGAAGGATGATTTTACTCTACTGGTTTTTGCTATTGTTGCTTGTTCATTATAACCACCAATTAGAGGCAAATATATAGTGAGTAAGATTAAATTACCATATAAGCAATCAGAGAATTGTTATCATCAGGCTAACATTGGACCTCTCGTCAGAAAAAATGCAGGCAAGAAATGAATGGGGAAATATAGTCAAAGCGTAGATCAAAAACAATTTCAGCCAAGAATACTATACTAAGCAAGATTATCGTTCATATGGGAAAAACAGATAAAAAACAATCTTGAATAAACAAACTTGAAAGAATTTCCCAACTCCAGACCAGCTCTTCAAGAGGTTCTGAAAGGAATGCTATACCAGGAAAACTAAAAAGTCAGACAGTCAGATATAAGAGAACAAAAAAACAGCCAAGAAAATGGCTCACTAAATGATAGGAACAGGTCCAGAAATATCGATAATAACATTGAACGTTAATGGATTAAATTCTGCAATCAAGAGACACAGACTGACTGAACGGATTAACAAACAAACAAACAAAACCCAAGAAACCCTCTATGTGTTGCCTACAAGACACACATCTTATGGATAAAGACCTACATAGACTAAAAGTGAAAGGCTGGAAAAAAGATATTCCATGCAAATGGAAATCGAAAAAGAGCTGGAGTTGTGATACTGATTTCAGACAAAATAGACTTTAAGACCAAGAATGTAAGAAAAGACAAAAAAGAGCATTATAGTAGTAAGTAGGCTAATTCATCAAGAAGACATAACACTTATAAATATCTATGAACCCAACTCAGGAGCACCTAAATACATGAAGGAAAGACTGCGGGAGCTAAAAGAAGAGATAGATTGCAACATTATAATTGTTGGGGTTTTCAACACCCCATTATCTCCTTTAGACAGATCTTCTAAACAAACAAACGAACAAAAGGTAGATAGATACAGCCCCTAAACAATACTATAAATCAAATGAACTTGACAGACATCTATAG